CACACATGACTTTCACAAATTTCTCTGCGGATTCGGGCTCCTCTCAGCGAGCGCACTCCAACCCCATCTTCAAAAAAAAATAAAAAAAATTCCTGGGATGTTTTTTGGCTCGTCTGGTTTTGCCGGACAGACCCCCCCCCGTCCGTCTGGCCCGGTCCGTTTGGGGCGGACGTCGGCCTAACCCAGGTTTTAGGCTGAAACGACACAGGGCCTGTAGGCCCTTGCTTTCAGGCTTTCAGGCTGAAACGACACAGGGCCTGTAGGCCCTTGTTTTCAGGCTTTCAGGCTGAAACGACACAGGGCCTGTAGGCCCTTGTTTTCAGGCTTTTAGGCTGAAAATGACACAGGGCCTGTAGGCCCTTGTTTTCAGGCTTTCGGGCTGAAAATGACATGGGCCTGAAAATGGCCCGTGCAGCCTGTTGCAGGCTGTGCGTGAATTTTGATGGCGCAGTACCTTCCAGACTTTTCCTGGGACGCTGCTGCAGAATTGGACTTTTGTCGGGCACCAGTTGGACTTTTACCGGTCTGTCTGTACAGTACCGGCCCGACATTGACTTATGATGTTTCGGCCTCGTACGGATGTAAGGACCCTAGGACTCACGTACTGGGACATGTGGGACTGGGACCATCTGGGGCCGGGCCCAACTGGGACTGGGGCAATTTGGGAGCCTGGAACTGGGGCACGGGTGTCTGCAACGTGAAATCCTTTCAATAGATTAATTTTGCTGGTTTCCTGGAACCGCCTCCTTCCTCGCTCTTCATTTTCGCCATTGGCCTTCTCTCGGTCCCAAAATTACCTTGTGGAACATACCACACGGAGATCTCCGTTTCGGCGTGAAACTCCAGCAGCACTGCCCACAAATCCTTGGCACACCCCTTTTTGCAACCTTTCTTGGCCTACTCCCACTCCGGTCAGAAGTTCACTCTGGGCGGAGTTTGGTGCGCTGCAAGGTTGTGTGGCGATGTCCAGAACTCTCACAAAATCAGGGCTCTTCAAAATTTCTGAGACCTCATGAAATATTTCGAGATTCAAGAGTGGTGTGGCGTGGATTAAAGAAAGCTCTCTCACAAAGGAACAAACCGTTGCACTGGTAAAAGGTGAGCTAGTTTAAAAGCTCTCTGACAAATAGGTCAAAAGTTCTGGAGCCAGTTTAAAACTTAGAACTTGAAAGTTCTGTTCAACTCTTGAAGTGTAGAAGTTACTCAAGCTCGAAACTGAAGTGCAGTGCCGGTCCCTTCCCCTGAACAGCACCACCATGCATGATCTTTGTTGGCTGGCTGTGAGCAGCTGTTGATTTTGGCATGTATCAAGACTCTGCTGCAGCCTTCAAGATTCAGAAGGACTTCAACGCACCAGGGCCCTCACCCCCCATGAACACGTAAGGAATGATCCGGCTGTCTTTTTTATTTTCTTTTTTTTTTCCCAATTTATGCATGTTATCCTTGCACAGGGACCATGCAAATCTTGTCTGTTTTTTTCCAATTTGCATGGATGTCCTGCAGGATCCGTCTGTCGCTTCCCAGGTGTAAGAAAAACAATGGTCGGTCATGTTCTCATTTGGACCAAGAGGAATGTATCAGACAACTGTAGTGAGAGTGTGGATTCCAGATAAAATTTGTGATTCCTTATTTACAATTTGGGAAGAGGATGAAGCTGAGATTAGTTCAATGAGATTTCCAAACTGCATCATAAAGTGTCTTTCTGCAGACTGCATGGACAGAAGTTCACGAATAAAGAGCTGTGAAGGTATTCTGGATGTATCTGACTGCAATTACAGCCCGCCGTGGCTGTATCTGGCTGCAGTTACGTTTGGAGCTGAGGCGGAAAGGTCCTAGTCTGAGTATGCCTCGAGACTTTATCCAAATGTAACTTTCTAGCAGCAGCTTTTGACCTTAGTGTGATTTGAAATCGGATTCTGGAAGTTACAGTAACTTATAAGAATGATGGGCCTAGCTCAGCTTATACACCCAAGAACTCAGGAAATGAAGAGACGAGTTAGTCCACACGAACTAAATGAATGAGATTCTGAATTACCTGGGGCCGATCAGTTCAACAATGATATCTCAAGGCCTTTTGCCCTTTCAAAAACAGAGGATGAATAAGTGAGTTATAAGAAAAACATCATGGTTACCAACCGGACGTCCGGATCCCGATCCAGACAGTCTGGTGTCCGGTTCGGAGGGTCCGGTTGGACCCGGATTTTGAAAAATTCGAATTTTTTTTGGGGGGTTCCCAGGCCATTTACCTGGGCCTGGGGTACCCCAGAAAAATAATGCTGATGTTTTTTGAGAACCGGTACCCCAACCGGACAGGCCCTGAAAGGGCCCTCTGTGTGATAACATTGGCACACGAGTTCACTGCTTTGCTCTTATTTGGATGGAATCTTGGTGCATTTGAGCTCTCTGCCTGGTACATGACTATCTGGACTTCTGCGTGATTTTGCAACTTGATTTTCTGTCTATCGCTCTCCCTCATATTCCTTGCATTTGTGATGTGGGAGGAGGGTCAGGCCGATGGGAGGGGCGACCAGGGATGGGAGGGCGATGAAGGATGGGAGGGGCGAGCAGGGATGGGAGGGCGATGACGCTCGACAGAGATGAGTTGGATACTGTGTTGGTGGGGCCTGAGGTCGATGACATTGGCACACGAGCTCACTGCTTTGCTCTCATTTGGATGGATTATTGGCGCATTTGAGCTCTCTGCTTGGTGTTGGTGTTTTTTTTTTTTTTTTTTTTCTGTTGACAACCGGACACCGACACAGCAACCCGGACTGTCCGGGTCCGGATGTCTGGATGTCCAGTTTGATGTCCGCTTAACTGGACGTCCGGTTTGATCCAGACACGGGTCCGGTGTCCGTGTCCAGTTGTCCGGTTGTCCGGGTCCGGGGCAACCATGAAAAAAATATTCGTCTGTGTTTCCAACTTTTACTCTGCAGGTCAGTGTGTGAGGTCTTTTGTGAGCAGACTGGTCTCTAAAGATTCTTTTGCAAGGAAGATGAGCAATAGCGAACTTCAGCAATCAAACAGCATCATACATATGAGTCCAGATAGTCGTGACCTCGAACCAACAGCAGAATCGCATCACAAGATTCACCAAATAAGAACACACCAAGAGTTCATAATTGACAATGCTGAAATAGTCCCATCATCATCAACGAAGAACCAGAGTTGATATCCTATCTGGCGCTCGGCGCCCAGACTACATGTGGCAGATCCTATCTAGCCTATACTACGATGCCGAAAGATGACGTCAACAGCTTTCCCGTAGTACGAGCATATGGCGACCAATGTCGCAAGCTTCCAGCACCAGGTATGTCTCTCGCCACACTCACAACCTCGTTCCCCAACTCACAGATGCCACTAGCACCCAAGGACCACCCTGCGCWTCACCCAGCTTACAGCAGCGCAGCTCGGCTATGGCTGCGTGCTCCTTCCCTGCTCGCCCGTGAGAGCGTAGGCGCCAGCCAGCAAATAGCGCAGCAGCGCTTGCGCAGCATGCAGCCAGCACCCGAATACCGAATACGGAGGCAGGCCCTTTGCTATATCGAAGTGGCCTGCCTGCGTCCAGTCCCAGGAAGCTTCCAGTAGGCCCCGGTAGCCTGAGGCCCAGCACGAAGAAAACAGGCCTTGGGCCTGAGGTGGTTGCATGTGCCCAACTGCCTTTGGCCTGTGTTTGGCCCAGTACCCGTATCCAGCCCAGCGCCTGCTTCACATACATTCACACAGGCGGCCCAGGGTCTGGGTTCACTCAACCAACTGGCGCTGCGCAACTGCCTGAATTTCCTTGAGTTGCATGGTGGCCAGAATAGGGCCCTGAGGGCCTCGTCGAGCCTGCCTTCACTTAGGGCGGCCGACGGGCTGCAAAATGGGGCCTTATGGGGCTCATAGAGGCAGTGGCCTTGCACTTTGTTGATCCTTCGAGCAAATCTTTCTCACACAAGTGGATATTTTTTTACTGGGAATTCAATGCAATTACAAATTAGTAAATTACTAAATTTCTTCCCTTACTATCTTTAAGGGAATAGCGGGTCTGGCGTCACGCTCCCGCCAGGCGCGGCTGCCACTCTTGGGAACGAGTCGAGGACACCAGGGATGGGCCCGGCAGACACCCGGGGCGTCGTTTTTTTTTTCCCTCTTTTGCCTCGCGCGTGGCGTGGTCAGATCCGTAGCGTGGCTCCAGAGGTTTATCGTGCCCAGCGCCGCGACGTGGGGAGATACACCGGTCGTTCGTATGAGACTGAATTCTGCTCCGGAACATGGGGAGATACACAGGTTCCCTTTTGTTCGTTTGTTTCGTTTCTTTTTTTTTTTGTCATTTTGCCAGTTTCCTTTTGTTCGTTTCTTTCCTGTTCTTTCTTTTTTCTGTCGTTTTGTGGGTTTGCTTTTTTGTCCCGCCCGTTGTTTTCGTTTTGGCCTGAGGGCCTCGCTGCACTGCTCTCCAAATGTGCAAATGAGACTGAATCCACTGCTAGAACACAGAGAAATACATTGTGGAATAGTG